ATATACCTAAAATCAACTCAGATCCGAAAATTTCCGGCACCTGCGCATCCCCTATGGTCTTATGTCTTATACGAGCACCCGCCAAATTTGAAGTCTAAATTCGTTGAAACAGCAGAGAGTGGGACATGAAAGAACGAAAGTTAGCTTCTTGGTCAGACCAGCTTGTAGAGAGCAATGCTACTTGAACATTGACTACAATATACTGTATTACAGGACATAGGCCAATATTTCCATAACAGTAGGGCCTTTGAATTGGCACGGTGGCGCATGCACCTCGCACCTCCTCATGAGACGAGGCGACGAGGCACTGTCCCTGCCAATATCCAAGAAATGAGAAAAGGCGTTTCCCATCCTGCCTCTCTCTGCGTGCCCCCTGCCAGAGCTCTCTCTTGCTCTCTCCCCTCTGCCCCTTGCCGGCAGCCCTCTCGAGAGGGAACTTCACCCAAGCACCTCACACGGAGAACATAGCGGCCGCAAGAGGGAGCATTTGCTCTCAGATCGTTTGATTGATGTGGCATTCACTGTTCCCCAGCGCACGAGCTACCATACATACCCTCTCACAGACCAGCGCAAGCAAAAGCCGTTTCTCACACACACTGCTGGCTGTACCGCCGTGATACTGCGGTAGTCTCCGGCAGATCGAGGACAAGCAGTCGGGATCCTCCCACTTACGCATCTTCCTCTCCCCCTTGGTTGGTGAGTTGCAGTCCTGTGTAGCTGTCTGGACGTTTCGGATTGCAGCAGAGTCAGAACCTCGTTGTACACGGCACTGAAACGTATGCGTAGACTATGTGCATACTGTGCAGCAGTCTTTGTCTACAGCAGTACATATGCAGCAGTCTACAGAGTAGAGTCCTGTAGTGCCTCACGACGTTGGCGATAGCTTTTGGCCGGTGACAAGGCGCCCCCTCATACCCGCGATGCTGTTGCGGTTGTCTTCACTATACAAAAACAGTTGCGGTCTCCGCTCAGGCGCGGGGGGGTACGGGGGTGGGGGTGACGCGAACGGGGGTGCATCTTTCCGTGGATGTAACCACCTAAAACGAGGGTACACCTTTTCTACTGTAGAACCCGAAGAACAAACCGCGCGGTTGACCCATTTCGGCGATGCCGACCATGAACAACAGCGAGTCTTTGGCCTGCACATCAGTTTGTTGGACTTGTGCACACTTCCCAAGGATGTTCGTCGCGCCGTGACACATTACCTGCTGTGTTTAGACCCTTCTTTATGGAAAAGGAATCTTGCAAATATATCTTGGTTTTTTTACCCAAGATTTGCTCACAAGATATCGCCGCCAAGATTTGCAGTATCGCGATTTATGGGGGAAACATGTTGAATGTTGAAAAAGCGGCGTGTTGTTCATCTCTTCTGCTTGAAGTTGATAAAGGCACAACGGCCACTTGGTCCACAGAAAATGCCAAGGTGTGGCGAAAAGTGAGCATGACGCAGTTGTGGAAGGGGCGTCCCTCCCCCAGCTGTATTGCCTCAACACTATGGGTGGATACTAGCGATGGGCGCCTACCTGGGGTGCAAAATAGAAGCCGTTGCCCACGAGCTCATGTCAAGCGGAGAAACAAAATTGTTCCATTGCTGTCCAACTGACAAGAAAGTGCATCAACCCGAAGCCGATGACACCCGTGCGCGTATCTCACTATGTAGCAGGCGTACCGAGGTCGTACCTCCGGCGCTGCCATCTGCGCTCACGGATCTGGCTCGGGTGCAAACGGACTGGGTGTGGGGTGATTCGATGAAGAGACAGAAGCGTCGCACACGACAGAGCTGTGTTGGCAAAACGTTCCTCCTCCTCTAAATAAAGCACTCTTTGAACGGTCTCTCGACAGACTGGTGATGGCGCACGTGGAACGAGCCAGGGCAAATACGCAGTTTTTTCGCGCGCCTTGATCGTTTTCGTTCGCTGTCGGCGCCCGTGGCACCGACACGGTGCGTTAGAGACCCTTGCGAGTGTGCCTCGTGAAGATTTCATGGCGTTATGGACGATTAGGTTGGCTGACCTTCGGTGATCGCGCCGCACCCAGGCAAGATTTGTTACGCCGCGTCAAGCTTTGTCGGAAGGCTCGTTTCGACAGGTCTTGGGTCAAGATTTGTTCGAAAGGGTAGATTTCGGGGCTCGAGAAATCTTGGCCAAGATATATCGGAAGATTTCGCTCCCATAAATCGTGAAACTGGCAGATCTTGGCCAAGATCAAGATTTAGTGACAAGATTTCGTTCCCATAAATCGGGGTCTTAGTATGGAAGCACATCGGGTCAAATTGTTTTTGGGAATTGCACGAAAATGGATATACCCACCCCTTCCTCGCACAATGGACTTCACGGAGACCACTCGTGAGAAGGCCGAAACACTCAACATCTCATCCCGGAGCCTGGACAACACGGTCAGGGCCCATATACAGCACAAACATGATCTTTTATCGCTGCAAGTACTGGTCGTAGCCAGCTCGTCAATGGCTCCGAGCATCGGGGCACTGATGTCCAGAGATTCCAGCTGTTGATACGTGGTTATCGTGTGCCCAGGTGTCCTCAAAGCACAATGTTGGCCAGTTGACGCACACACACATCAACCCTTCTTGTTCAGACCCACAAAGAGATGGTAGGACATCATGATATGATCATCCCACCACACACTCACATCGATGGACAAAATGTTCGTTTTCTCGCTCCGTTGATCATCACTCCTCCTGCTATTAGTTGCGAGGACGTATGTTCTATCAGCTGCTCTCTGTGGGAAGGGGCTGTGTCATTGCTGCTGATTCGGTCAGTGCAGAGAGAGGTATAGCGTAAAAAGCACTGGCTACATGGCAAGAAGCTTGTAGTGAGCGGAGGTATGATTTATCTAACAGCTGTCGACCCTTGGCCAACTTCAGTTCTCAAACTTGGAGCGCCTAGAGGTCTCTAACAACCACCCCCACAAGAGGCACCATACCTACGTCTACGGGCAGTAGTTTTGTTATTTTTGTTTCAGCCATTGTAGACAACCGCACAGAAGACCAAGCCGGTGATGAGGTGTAGCAAGTGGAAGAAATCAAACGGCCGCGTTCCATAGCTACTGCAAAGAAGGTCGACTGCACCACAAGAAGCGTCTTGACAGACAGCGTGTTTTTGTTTCTGAATGGAAAATTATTTTCTTTATTTCTCTGCAATTGCAATTCTCGGTTAGCGTAGGAAATGTTTCTTTGGTCAGTTGGCCCGTTTTAAAAAGGTGGACAGCAAAGTATTTGATTCCATTGGAAGTGGTCTAACTCTAACTTCACCGACATCTGTTGCAATGTCTGGAACCGCAGCCGGGGCCAACGCGTAATCAGCAGCAGCAAAAGGCAGAAGTCGAAGCAGGCGGTCAAAGGTGTAGCAGCAGCCTCGGGATCAGCTACCAACACGCCGGTCGTGAGGGATAGGTATGCCCTTGACTGACACTGACTGGTTTGCGATCCGGAACGCTTGGTAACTTGCGTGCTGTACACGCTACCCACCTATTTTTCGCTCAGTGCGTTTTGTCGTGCATATCGGTGGAGTTGTGTGATGGCTACGGGCAGCATGATCTATCGCGTATAAGACTGCTGTAATCTGTAAAAGGTGTATACCTGTAGCACGCTAGTGCGGACCCGTGGCAGCTTGTGGGCCAAACTATCGAACCTGAGCCCGCGCTCGTTCAAACACAGGTGCACGCGTGATGCACCAGGACCACAGCGAAGGAACAGGTCGTACACTGGACACACTGATTCGCACAGTTACAAAGGTGTGCAGCAGTATAGCGTAGAGCTGCACATACATAGTCATCCACCGTGGTGGTGGTGGTGGTAATCACAGCAGGAGAATGTCTGGTGGCGACAGCAGCGGCAGGAAGGTTTGAGGCGAGCATGAGGCCGGCAAGCAACCGAGAGGGCAGTAAGGACGGTGTTTGGGGATGAATTACAGCCTTCGCCATATGCAATCAGCTGGTCTGTCGTGTTACCTACACGGCCTCTTTTCGAAACATCCACTGCATTCGGAACCACGGTGCCTTGCTTGTTGCAATCCGTTTCGTGTTGCGCGCAGGCTCAATGTCATTTGCAGGATTGGAAACCCAGACAGATGATTTTGCTGGGGCTGCCAAGGTGAGCCTTACGTGCCGCTGCAAACGATGGACTGCCAAACCCGGTTGAAGGAACCGCGCAGCCGGAAAAAACGACTGTGTTTCATGAGGCGTTTCGAGACTCGATTTGTACCATAAGTACATAGAATTTATCATTTCGCTCACGACCAGCTTGCAGGATTGTGGCAATTAGTTGTTTCATTTACTTGGTAAAACCCGAAGCGGTGCCCGTGTTTGTAATGGATGACGCTATCAGGTGACTCACTGGATAGACGGCGTCCAGGTCAAAGAAGAGGGGGAGGAGGGACAGCAGCAAGAGCAAGAGGATGGACAGGAAGAGGAGGTGACGCAAGCGTTAAAGCATTTATGTTTGTTAAGCGGGAAGGTGTTTTCTATGGTCAATGTAGCGAACTTTGTGGAGATAATCATGGTTTTATGCCCATCGTAGTTCAAGCGGTTAGTCAAGATGGATCGGGTACTGTATGTACAGCAATAGGTTGCACCTATTTGATGCCTGTCGCACCGAACTGCTAGCGGTAGAGACCGCGTGCATTTTGCTCAACTGTCAATGCTGGATGAAGACTGGAACATGATCAGATCGACGTGCGTTGAAGGTGGCCGCTCTTCTCGATACAATCATGGCCAATTTTGTGCACAGGGTAAAAACATCCGTCCAAGCCAACATACACCATTGCAAAGTCTCTTTCAGTTGCTTGGATACATGGTGGGGTAGTCTGTCTCGGGGATCATCATTGGATCCAAGCCTATCTCTTCTTTGCCTTTTTCACACCAACAAGCCGTGTTAGTGTACCCACCTTCGTTATGCTCAGATGCTGATGATGACTGGGTTATGCTCGATCCTGTGTGTAGCTCCAGAATCGTCTTTTGGTGATGGTGCTTGCGACATCAACGAGACCCAGTCTTTGCAGTGTTCGGATGACTCGCTCTAGGCAAGGCCAGGTATGCACAAGCGCGGAAGTATGGCCAACGCACTCCGCCGGTACAGCGTCTGGACAGCCTGCAGCCGGCAGCCCGACCATGCTGAGAGGTGAAAATCAGTAGTACGAAATAACGGTATTCGGTCGAAGCTTCATCGGGAGATGCGGAAATCAACTGCCTGTAGTTGTGACCCTTTGTGGGTTTTGTTGATCTTTTGATTTTGTTTTCAAACCGGCAGCAATCCGTTTCCCGAAATCTTCTGCCCAAGATCTACCCAAGATCTGTGGCCCCGCTCGTTGGCAAGGTCTCCGCGCGGTATCGATTTGAACAGTATTTTAACAGCATGCATAGCCGGTGGCATGCAAAGGGGGGGTCGCGCCCACCAAAAATTGAGGAGAGGGAAATGCTGAATCTCTCTCAGGTGGCAACAAGCCGCCGACTTCTCGGGGCACGGTTCGAAATACCCTCCATGTATCTCGCAACGCGGTCGGCTTTTACCTGACAGCACACACACATTCACAGGAGCGCAACCAAACGCCTGCTCCTGCTTTGCGAACCCGAGATCCCTCTATATGGGTTACCCTGCCGTAGCTGTTTTAGGCTGTAATGGTACCCTGAGTTTCTTGAGCGTTCCCTTCCCCGACGAGAAAATGGCGGGAAAATACGACCCTTCCATCTGCCATTTTGTCCAAAGACCCCAACTTCTGCTGCAGCCAAAGGATCTCAATACCCGAATCTCGCAGCTCCAAACAAATTGTTGCACCCGAAACTTGGCAGACACTCCTGGTGTAACGCAGCGTGATGGACACCTCGACTGAGACAAATCATCGACTGAGACAAATCATGCACACAGCAATACAGAAGCGTATTGGGTGAACGTGTGGTGGCCGAGAGAGAGGGGGCGGAGAGGCACATATACCGAATGATGAATCATCGTACATAGATTTTGGCGTTAGACACACCACAATATGCTTACACTCACCTATCCTACATCCTATTTATGCCGTAGTTGACTTGCTTTGCACAAAGTGCACTATGGTACAGATCACTATCAAGGAGATTGTAGGATTGACTCGTTTGGCTTGCCTTTGTTCCAGCATCATGGTTCCTCGGTTGCAGCTGCGAATTTGAGAAACATTGACCAATCGTCACTGCCACGACGTACCAGTCACGAATACGTCGATCGCCGTAGCTATTCACGCGCACGTTTTCGTGATGAGCCGTGTCGTCCGTGTGTGCTTCTCTCTCTATCTCTCGTTCACCACACATCCCCACCCACTACTAT